TTCGCTTTTCATCCTCTCGATTTCGTTAACAACAGTAATGCCACGAGAAGGCAGTGAGTAGGACTTCCCTTGCAGAGGCTATATACATGTAGCCATGTGAGAGCATTTGGAGAAGGAGAGCGGACTCTCCCCACTCTCGGCCGTACCACGGCATTTGCAGTCTTCTGCCTAAATACATAATCACATATATCATTCTTCCCAATTTATACTATCTTTTTTTATTTGTTTACTGTCTTCTTAGTTAATGTTTGTCATCTGAGTATAAATTTCTGATGAGCTTTATGTATTAGTAGATAGCAGTTACATCAATCACATTTGATTACTATTTCATTAGAACGTTTTTGACTTGTTAAGATGAAACCAAACGTTATTTACACATAGACGTTTACGTTTATTTTAAGTCAATATCTTTATAAAAAATTACATAGTTGTACTTAGAATTAAATTAAAGAAACTTATTTACGTTTGATACCCCTTCAGAGGAGCATAGGCTGACCACCAGCATTCTCCAACCAACTCTGCTCTGGACAATCTTTTCCAGCTCTTTCATGTTGCTATTCATACTTTTCATGTCTGCTTTCAATCCCCGATTCAATGTGTTCTTTGGTCTTCCGCTTTTCCGTTTCGCTTCACGATTCCAAGTTAGCGTTTGAATCCTGATGTGGTTTGACGATTTCTTAAATGTGTGTCTGATCCATTTCCAACGTCTTTTCCTAATTTCCTCTTCAAATGGTCTGTTCTCTTCTACGAACAACTGAATATGAGACATCCTAGTTTAGTTTATTAGAAGGCTAAACACATGTAATTGCTATTCCCTAATTAACTTGTTTCGAAAACAGATTTTTACATTTAAAGTAATTAATACATATGACCCGTAATGTTTGCACTGAATATTAAGATGAGTGACTACAGACTAAACCTAGTATAGTTAACGATTATCGAACGCGTTTGACCAATAAGCCTATTCAAGTCATCTGACATAAATCTAAGATTAACTAACATTTCCTGCCAAAAATTCCAATCTTTCCTGGTAAGGACAGAAAGTTAAATGACATTTGTTAATCGCTTTGATTTGGAATAGCATTTACACAACCGTGATTTTTTGTATTTTTTAAGATTTCTAACCAATTGTTCAAACACTAGGATTAACCTTTTATTAGAGTGAGTAGGCCTTCACATACACAAGGGAAAAGCAACATCCTCAAATACAACACGGAAAACACTAACATCATCACACTTGATGGATAATTTCTACAAGGGGTGGAAACATTCACGCATTTGGACAACAACAACATCCATGAACGTGGATGATCTGATGCAGATGTACAGGCAAGGATCGACAAGGTAAGGACAGCAACCCTACAGTTGAACAACATATGCAACTCAAAACAACTGTATGTCATCCAATATCAAAGTCGGAATCTTCAATATGAACGTCAAGACAGCTCTACAGTATGGAGCTGAAACTCGGAAAACTACAACAACCATTATCAAAACTGTACAAGTATTTATAAACAATTGTCTACACAAGATACTCAATGTCCATTAACCGGATACTATCAGCAACAGTGTACTGTCAGAGAAGACAAACCAGCTTCCATCTAGAGAGTAAGTTAGAAAAAGATGTTGGAAGTGAATAGAACATACATTACTGAAATCATCAAACTGCATCATGAGGCAAGCGCTAACTTAGAATAGGAAACGAAAGTGGAAAAGTGGAAGACCAAATAACACAGTGTCAGAAATTAGAAGCACACATGAAAATAATGATTAGCGATTTAAAAGAAGTGGAAAGGATTGTCCAAGACGGTGTTCGATAAAGAATGTTGGTGGTCGGCCTATGCTCCTCCATGAGGGGTAACAGGCATAAGTAATTAAATAAGTTCATTAGAGTCAATAGTTTAATTATATTAGTAAATAGTGTAATACAGTTTGTGATTGTGATTTTTAAGTTGTAATGTGAATTTCTTGTATAGTTTTCTTCATTATTACTTTACATTTAATCGAAAATCCATACCTCTCTCCATTACTTGCGATACGTGATTTCACTTAAGCTTATGAAGATCATTGTTATATAAACTTTGACACCAGTTTTCATTTTCTACATTAATAGTTTCTTAATCAGTCAATCAATGGAATCATTATAAAAACTGTCGATTATAAAGGATTAGTTATTTATCACGGATTACATAAATGGGTCACTAACACTACTAACAATATAATGACTATAACAGAATAATATCGTTCAATTTATTAATCAATTATGAATTATGATCATTCCACTACAACTCATGATTACCATTTCTTGAATGTTAAACATCAATTTTACGTCAAAAAGTATAAAATCATTATTGTAGGACTCTGAGCAGAACGATAGATAGTTATAATCTCAGTCATAAAAACAGGTACAAAAGTATGATAATAGTGGATATTCAATTCAGCAACAAAATCAATCTCAATCATCTACTGGTACTCAGAATCATGGTCTATAAACCATCCAACAACAAACTCAACAATGCAACCCAAGAACTTCACAAGCTTACAATCCAATTCAAAATCCTAATAACCTACAACCAGTTTTTACGTTACCAATGATTAATGAGTTAAACTAGGATGGTGATTTACCATTTCCAGTCAATCAAACACAGACAACATCAGATTCACATATTTCTAATCAATCCGAACGACTTGGTTCGTTGCAATTCTCATCGTAGACCTTTATTTCTGAATAGTAATGCTAACATCAGGTTTTCATAGGCGTTTATTATAATTCGTAAAAGTCGGGTTTATAAATTCTGGCTGAGAATCAGTTGAATAATGATTAGTCAATATTTTAAATGCTTTGTCTTAAATATTTACAGTTGATGGATCACTAGGTGGTAAACAATGTCATGTATATCAGGTCCTTCTTAGTGCACATCGAATCCTATCGATCAAGTTGCAATGTGGCCACTATTCTAGGCGACTCGAATATCAGTTGCACTATGTTGAGATAAGATGGTAATTGTCTTAAATACTTTAATAATGTGCTTTTCGAATGCTGGAATAATTTCCTCATACTTTAATGTAAAATAATGTAGTTCTACAATGTTAGAAATGAGTCAGTTAGTCAACAATTACAATGATTGATCATCTTATTACTTTTAGAATTAATTAAAGTTAGCTATGTGAACCACGAGATTTCAAATATGTGCTAGACTTCAGATATAAATATAGTAGGTTTAATCAAGCATCTTTGAATAGTCCCAGACTGGGACTAAACATTTAATGAAGAAGACATAAATTTAGTTGGATTGTGATGCCTCAAGAAAGAATATATCAATAAATAGAACAAATCTGAGTTTTTTCTGACCTTTCTTAAATACAATCGATATTCTGTTCTGAAACACTTCTCTAAATTGTAATATTTGAAACAGTAAATGTTTATTGTATCAAGCAGTATTAAATTCAATGCTCTAAAGAGGCCAACAGATGTCAGCTTGTCAGATGTTATTTCTCATATGTATAACGCAAGCGTTTATGTATATGGACAGAAATCAACCATATATTCACTGACTACAGATATCAACACCATTCACAGAGTCACTAGTTAACTTCAAAGTAACCAAAACGATCTACTGTGATTTCATGATAAGAGTCAACTTAAAACAACACAAGTGGAATATAAAGATCAGTAACGAGAACATTTATTAGTCAGATTCATTTTGGAGATACAGTTGAACGAAACAAAGTCACGCAAAATAATCATTACATACGATGATTTCGATAAAGTTTACCATCAAATCATCTATTCAAACTTCAACATGAATAATCTCGAACTTTCATGAATAATAGTAATATACATCATTTTCCACTGTCACTTCAGTTTGTGAACCGTTCTTTAGATTAGCTACATGATTATGGTTTCGATTTCACAATGTTGCTCTTTCCTACTTGATTTCCATAACCTGAATAATACAAACATTAACCACTATGATACCATTTGATCTACTTGTCAAAATTCTCATCACAATGAATGTGGCAATTGATTAATATTTCTTAGATGTTGACCAGACAATCTAATTAATACATGATCGCAATTTCCGACTAATTGGATGAAAGTGTGTGCATGAATGTAGTGTAAAGATTTAAATAATTGTCAAATGACTAAAACACGATTGTGGTTAGTAATGTACATAAACAGTTGAAAAACCAATTGGAAAACTTGTTAAGTTGTCGTGAATGAAACCAATCGATGGGCACTGCTATTCACATACATGTCATCAACGATGTACAGCAGAAGTGAAACGTTAAATTGACTCATCGAATAATGTTTTTTCATTCAAACGAAAATTAGGGGAATGGCAACTTCCATAACTATTATTACTTATACACATATATCCATTCTTACCATATAATTAATAAGTAATGATATCAGACATAAATATATATACATTACTTTTATCAAAAGCTTTGGACTAACAAATTAACTACCGATGAATGATTAACCACTATTAATCTGTTGCCAGTTTATTATTCAGTCTCCCCTACTCACAGACACTTTTCGGCTTGATCATGTGTAGATGTTATTTTCCATTTTATGGTGTGGTCTGGTGTGGTGTGGTCGTATGTGTATCGATAAAAAATATAATATTCGTACAGTGGAGGTTGGTTACCAATTTCTCGATTGAATGTAGGACAAATAAGGACTTGTCATCGACTCAAAGCTACAAGTGTCGGTTGGTGTGTCAGTGCTTAGCTCAAGGACAAAGTCATAGAAATCGATATTGTAATTGTTGTTTTGTCATGTGATATTAATGATCGGTCAAGTCATTACAAATATAAGGCTGATTGCATGCTTAAGAACTGAAGGTCATTTGTGCCAAATCAGACTGATATTATATAGTAACAATACTAACAGTGGATTGTGATTGATAAGATGATAAGTGGAAAGTTTGTTGTTTGTTCGATATTTGAGTATCTGACTATACCTGTGAATCTTCCAATGGTTGTTATCGTAGTCACTGATGCTGTTGATCGGATAATGGAGAATCTGGAGATAGATGAGATTCGAGTGACTGTGTCGGTTCACTAGAGAATGAATTGTCAAATTCCGAATGCTGCTCAACTATTGGATTTGACACATTAGGAATCAGTGAATCGGATACTTGGAACAGATCAGACGATTGTGGTTGTACCAACATCAAACCATCAACATTGGATTGTGACTGATCGGATTGTGGCGATGAATCGGATTGACGTTGTGAGTCGATTCCAGGCTGTGACTGTTGTGATGATTGATTTTCACCATTCTGTATTGCTCGAAACTGTTCAGATAATGGTGGTTGTACCAACATCAAACCATCAACATTGGATTGTGACTGATCGGATTGTGGCGATGAATCGGGTTGACGTTGTGAGTCGATTCCAGGCTGTGACTGTTGTGATGATTGATTTTCACCATTCTGTATTGCTCGAAACTGTTCAGATAATGGTGGTTGTACCAATGTCAAACCATCAACATTGGATTGTGACTGATCGGATTGTGGCGATGAATCGGGTTGACGTTGTGAGTCGATTCCAGGCTGTGACTGTTGTGATGATTGATTTTCACCATTCTGTATTGCTCGAAACTGTTCAGATAATGGTGGTTGTACCAACATCAAACCATCAACATTGGATTGTGACTGATCGGATTGTGGCGATGAATCGGATTGACGTTGTGAGTCGATTCCAGGCTGTGACTGTTGTGATGATTGATTTTCACCATTCTGTATTGCTCGAAACTGTTCAGATAATGGTGGTTGTACCAACATCAAACCATCAACATTGGATTGTGACTGATCGGATTGTGGCGATGAATCGGGTTGACGTTGTGAGTCGATTCCAGGCTGTGACTGTTGTGATGATTGATTTTCACCATTCTGTATTGCTCGAAACTGTTCAGATAATGGTGGTTGTACCAATGTCAAACCATCAACATTGGATTGTGACTGATCGGATTGTGGCGATGAATCGGGTTGACGTTGTGAGTCGATTCCAGGCTGTGACTGTTGTGATGATTGATTTTCACCATTCTGTATTGCTCGAAACTGTTCAGATAATGGTGGTTGTACCAACATCAAACCATCAACATTGGATTGTGACTGATCGGATTGTGGCGATGAATCGGATTGACGTTGTGAGTCGATTCCAGGCTGTGACTGTTGTGATGATTGATTTTCACCATTCTGTATTGCTCGAAACTGTTCAGATAATGGTGGTTGTACCAACATCAAACCATCAACATTGGATTGTGACTGATCGGATTGTGGCGATGAATCGGGTTGACGTTGTGAGTCGATTCCAGGCTGTGACTGTTGTGATGATTGATTTTCACCATTCTGTATTGCTCGAAACTGTTCAGATAATGGTGGTTGTACCAATGTCAAACCATCAACATTGGATTGTGACTGATCGGATTGTGGCGATGAATCGGGTTGACGTTGTGAGTCGATTCCAGGCTGTGACTGTTGTGATGATTGATTTTCACCATTCTGTATTGCTCGAAACTGTTCAGATAATGGTGGTTGTACCAACATCAAACCATCAACATTGGATTGTGACTGATCGGATTGTGGCGATGAATCGGATTGACGTTGTGAGTCGATTCCAGGCTGTGACTGTTGTGATGATTGATTTTCACCATTCTGTATTGCTCGAAACTGTTCAGATAATGGTGGTTGTACCAATGTCAAACCATCAACATTGGATTGTGACTGATCGGATTGTGGCGATGAATCGGGTTGACGTTGTGAGTCGATTCCAGGCTGTGACTGTTGTGATGATTGATTTTCACCATTCTGTATTGCTCGAAACTGTTCAGATAATGGTGGTTGTACCAATGTCAAACCATCAACATTGGATTGTGACTGATCGGATTGTGGCGATGAATCGAGTTGTTGAGAATTTGTTTCATTCTGAATTCTTTGTGTTCGTTGTATTTCACTATCCTGATATTCTTGAGGTATTTCTGTTGATTGTTCTTCTTGTTGTTGATGATGATCAGGTATTGAATGACCAACGTCATTTTGTGACTGACTAGGTAATTCTGGTTGATTATATATCTGTGAATCGAATGGTTGTTGTGTTTGATCAATGGGAATTTGTAAACCATCATTTTGGTTTGGTTGATTAATCATTGGTAATGTATTTATTGGTTGCAAGTTTCCAGAATTTATCGATTGATGTTGAGCTTGTGATTGAATTGAATTGAATTGTTGATTTTGTTGTTGAATTTGCTGCTGAATAATTTGTTGTCCATTGTTATATGGGTTAATAAATGATTGTGTTTGACTTTGTTTTTGAATTGAATATCCACTTGTATTAAATGTTTGTACTTGATCTTGTGATTGAAATGAACCGGTATTTTGTTTCAATGTCCATATATTATTTGATATAGGAGTACATTTGATGTATATATTCAAAGATACAATAATCATTATTAACATTGAATTAATCATGATTCACGGATAATTATCAGATGAACGTTTTATTCACTATACTAAAATGATCATATACAAGTGATTATAATATTTACAGTAATCTATTTATATAATTCATTGTAAATAATTAATCTTTTATAATCTATACTTTTAATGAAAAATTCATCCAATTAACATATGAGTTAATGACATTAGTGATTTTTGACAAGATAACAAAACATGCAAAAGAGAGAGAGACAGGTGGGGTTATCGTTTCTAAGTATAACAATTACAATGTTATTTTCTGTTAAGACATCAATATGAAACATGTTAGAAAGATTTTATACGTAAACAAATAGACTGTAGGTCACCAACGTAGATGATTGATATCGAATGATCGGAAGCCTACTCGAGTTAAACGGGAATGGCGTGACGAAACAGCTAATGTCGAAGTCACTACTCGTGGTCAGCACCTCATGTGGACTACCCCATTGACGTATCAATGTACCACATATGCTTTGAAGACTGTACAACACAGAGGACGTTATTACGGAAATATATTAGTTAAAGTAGATACAAACGAAAGTAAGACCACTGCTGAATGGGGCAGTGCATGGCATACGATTAACTGATGTGCGTTGATTGTCCTTGATTTTGACGAGGATCGATAATTTGTTCGATATTCAATGAATCAACTGCATGATGAATTGGCTAGGGCTCAGTGGAATTTCACTGGCCCTACAAGACAAATAAAGATTTATTTAATACTTATTTGAAATTTTATTTACCTTTCACTGTTATCATTGTAATGAATGAGAACACAATTGGAAGACAATCGAATGTATTTATATTACAAAATTACAGAATTTTTGAGTAAAATCTGAGAATTATACAGTAAATACTTAATTTGTAAAATATTTTAATCAATTAATAAGAAATTTCGTCTAAATTTGAACGAATAGTTTCACAATATTTGGGCGCCGAGTTAATTTGAGACATTAAAAAGAAGAATATATTTGTAAAATCTCAGCGAATGAATTTTAAGTAAATCCTACGTTTCGCCTGGCAATCTGGTCCAAGCTTTTTAATCAATTTTAATCAATTATCTTAAACTTGACTTTTTCTTTGTAAATGTCAATCATTTGTCTTAGACTTCATTATTCCTTCATTATCATATCAATCGCTTTCTGTTTCCGTTCTTTCTTTCTCGACCTTCTGTTGCTAGATATTTTATTCCTGAATAGCCTTATATACTGCTTATGTTGATATAAGTAGCACATATAACACCAGCATTCACTTTGTCATATGTGTTGAGGTTCATGTTATCTTACAAAATTTCAAATTAAATGCATTGAATTCGCTACAATATGTTTTATATTATATGTATTCTCTTTTAAGCTTACATATGAACTTTAAAAACTTATAATATCTGAAGAGTATGGTTTATTTTTTTCCATCTTCTTATACCTTTATAGTAATGTCTATCAAGAATATTTTTGATAAGTCTTACCTGTAAAATGGCATGGCTGTTATGTAACTTTCGACTACTTTAAAATAACTTCATAATGATAATGGTGAGATTATAATTTCTGCACAATTTTTGAGCACTTCTAAAGGGGCCTTGGGAATATCCACTTACTTGCTACGGTAAAAAATGTTTAAATTAGTATGAGGAATTAGGATTAGGATTTAGAATTAGAACTTATGGTTAGGAATTACAGTACGCATTTGCATGACGAACTGATATCAAATATAGTGCCAAAATCCTATTTAACCATTTGAATAAATGAATTTCACTCCAAAATTTAATACGTGTTGTCTTTAATTTCAACAGATAGTCCATAAGTTATAGTCTCGCTATGGTCATTCACACTTATTTACATATTCACTAAACAATAAATGTGAACGCAGGCGTTTGCTTGTATTTCATATTATGTTTTGCTTACTAACCATCTAAAGTGCTATGGTTTTTTGACAACAGTTTCATTGGTCTGATTTGGAGGAAAAATTTGGTATTAATATTTTGTCTTCTTTCGTATTTCACTTGTAATTATCATATACATTTGAAAGACGATAAAATATCTCATTGGTATTTTTTTCTTAAAAATGTGATTATGAAATCCAGCAAGCACTGGATAGCCGTTTTTTCCTACTACAGGACTCCTGAACAGTGGACATTCACGACCCCGCATCTGGGAACTGGACACAGGACTTTAAGTTTGGCACATGAATAGTTAACCTCCATACCATATAGCAGGGATCTAATGGTGTACAAAAGTCTCTGGATGTGAAATATCTTATCCGAAGTTGTAGATGAAGAAAAGATTTGTTGGTAATCGGTATCGGGATTTTCAATCATATTTGTAACTTAAACTCTATGACGACATGCAGCGAAGTGTACAATAATATAATAAGATAAGCTTCAACATGTATGAAGCATTAAGGTATACACTACTTTGCGTTTTTTTAGCGAGTTAGTTTTCTACGAGCTCAACCCTCCTCCTTTACCTGGGCTTGGGACCGGCAGTAACTCTAGAAGAGCTACAGGCGGAGTTATTAAGGTATACATAATGGACATGATTTTGTGAGTGCAATTTTTTACATGATGAATATTTCCAAGGTTAGCACATACCTTTATTAACGGTTATTGATTTGATTACCCATTTGTCGGTTTGTTTTTCAAAGGAAATAATCTCATCACTAATTAAATGAAAATATTTACGATTAAGAAAAGTTATTTAATTGAAATAACTATGTAAATAACCTGAGATTTGAATGTACACCAAAGAAAATCCATTCAAAGCATTATAATTAATAGATGATGATTTTACACTTTAGAAGGTGCGTTTAGGTAACTAAATAAATTCATTTACTAAACTAGGTATGTGATGAGACAGAATTTTAAAGAAAATGTCTTGAGTTGTTCATGGGGCATATGTTATTGGATCGTAATACAGGAGAGTAACTGAATCTATCCATTTTGAGTATTGATTAATTCACCTAGATTTTTTATCTAGTACCAATCAACACATGATACACATGATCTTAGCTCAGAGAGCCGAGAAGCGCCTGTAGCTCTAACGGGGTTACTGCCGGTCCCAAGCCCGGGTAAAGGAGAAGGGTTGGGCATGGGGTTAGCGTCCCCATCCCGTAGAAAACTAACTCGCTAAAAAAACGCTTACCAGAAAAAATAATCCAAACCATTTAAACTCTGCCCTGGGAGTTAGAAGGTCTTCAGTTAGAAGAATTATGACACTTCATGGTGAAAGCCGAGTTCCTTCGGAAGCCACGAAGCCGATGCCCCTTCTAACAACTAGAGCAAAAATTTTTATAGGTACATGGAACGTTCGAACAATGTGGGAAACCGGGAAGACCAGTCAAATAGCAATGGAAATGAGGAGATACAACTTAGCAGTACTGGGAATCAGCGAAACCCACTGGACCCAAGCTGGACAGAAAAGGCTAGCTACGGGAGAGATGCTGCTATACTCCGGTCACGAGGAGGACAATGCTCCACACACTCAGGGAGTCGCTCTTATGCTGTCCAAAGTAGCACGAAATGCACTTGTAGGACGGGAGTCTCACGGATCCAGAATCATCAAAGCATCATTCAAAACAAAGAAGGAGGGGATCTTAATGAATATTATCCAATGTTATGCACCCACCAATGATAGCAACGACGACATTAAAGATCAATTCTACGAGTGGCTGCAGTCAATCATAGAGAAATGCTCAAGAAAGGACCTCACCATTCTGATGGGAGATCTAAATGCCAAGGTCGGAATAGACAACACTGGATATGAAGATATTATGGGACGACATGGACTGGGAGAAAGAAACGAAAATGGAGAAAGATTTGCAAATCTATGTGCATTCAACAAATTGGTCATATGAGGCACAATATTTCCACATTAGCGTATACACAAAGCTACATGGATCTCACCGGACCACACTACAGAGAACCAAATAGATCATATTTGCATCAACAAAAAATTCCGAAGGACAATGGAAGATGTGAGAACCAGGAGAGGTGCTGACGTAGCTTCAGATCACCACCTAGTTGTAGCCAATTTAAAATTGAAGCTAAAAAAGAACTGGACAAGTGGACAAACAGAACTACAAAGGTTCAATACAGCCTTCCTTCGAGATACTGACAAACTCAATGAATTCAAGATAGCTCTCAACAACAGGTTTCAAGCCTTACAAGATCTACTGAATGAAGAAGAAACTACCATGGAGGACAACTGGAAAGGCATCAAAGAAACATTAACTTCAACGTGTCAAGAGGTTCTCGGTCTAAAGAAGCATCATCATAAGGAATGGATCTCTATAGAAACACTGGACAAGATCAAAGAAAGGAAGAACAAGAAGACAGCAATAAACAACAGCCGAACACGAGCTGATAAAGTCCAAGCACAAGCTGAATACATAGAAGCAAACAAACAAGTGAAGAGGAGCATTAGAGCCGACAAGAAGAAGTACGTGGAAGAACTAGCAACGACGGCAGAAAAAGCTGCTAGAGAAGGAAATATGAAACAGCTTCACGATACAACGAAGAAACTAGCAGGGAAATACAGTAAACCAGAGAGGCCGGTCAAAGACAAACAAGGCAAGCCAATCACCGAAATTCAACAACAGCGTAACAGATGGGTAGAATACTTGGAGGGACTCCTGAATAGGCTGGCTCCAATGAATCCACCGGACATCGAAGCAGCACACATAGATCTTCCTATAGATGTCAACCCACCAACGATGGAAGAAATTAGAATGGCCGTCAGACAAATCAAGAACGGGAAAGCAGCAGGACCCGACAATATACCAGCTGAAGCACTGAAATCAGACATCGAAGCAACCACAAGCATGCTATACCTTCTATTCAAAAAGATTTGGGAGGAGGAACAAGTGCCGATGGACTGGAAAGAAGGACACCTCGTCAAGATTCCAAAGAAAGGAGACTTGAGCAAATGTGAAAGCTACAGAGGCATTACACTACTGTCAATACCAGAGGAAGTCTTTAACAGAGTGTTGCCTAACCGGAT